GGGGGGGGGGGGGTGAATTTTTTACATTTCATTTATTTAATATTATTTTTTAAACTTTTTTAAACTTTACCTTAATTGCTATCACTTAGGGGGGCTAAGTGATAGCATATTGGTGATGACAGGTCCTCTTTAAGGTGACACTAGGGGTCCAAAAGACCACTAGTATCACCTTTACACTCTAAATAAGCTATTGAAGTGCAGATCACACCTCAATAGCTTATTGCTGGGCTTTAGGAGCCCAGCAATGACATCTCAGGGACCGGAAGTGATGCAATACGCGTCATTTCTGGTCCCATAGAATGGGGAGGAGATCAGTGAACGGAAGTTCACCGCCCTCCTCCCCAGCTTCCCGCCGATACCCGAGATGTCAGTCCCGGGCCTATAGGAGGGTCAGCGGAGCCCGGGAAACACGTTATGAGTCACTTTACCGGATTGTAGAAGCGATCTGGCAGCAACTGAGCCGCCAGAATCACTTCTACTGTAAAGCCGGCCGCTGGCTCTACAAATCTGAACAGAGTCCCAGTCCCTTGAGGATTCATGATGGGATTGTCCCACCATGGGTCGTAAAGGGGCTATCTATCTATCTATCTATCTATCTATCTATCTTTCAATCTATATAATGTCCATCTTACATGGAAGTAATAGCAGCTATCTTAAAGTTTATCTCTAGTCAAAATGTATTTAGTTAGTTCTGTGTAGAGTAGGGAAGAGTTAAGCTAGCCATACATGTTTAGCTTTCTCTAGTTCAGGTCTATATTTAAAAGTATATATGGTCAAAAACTAAAAATTTATATGTATTTCTATATTATATTTCTATAAGTTCTATCCTACTCCAAATCACCATATTGATCTAGAAGTTTCTGAACTTATTTATTGAAGATGTCAATAGGATGTACTTTCTAAATACAGTGACACAGTTTAATTCAGCCCTGTAAATATGCACTTGCTTGTGTCACAACTCTACCTGAACCTGCCGTCTGAACTCAACATCTCAACAACGTAACATCATCATTGCTTGCTGAAAGCAAGGCAACTGTGACAACTGTGTAGGATGGGATTTCCCTTACTGAAGAGATTTTCTTTATTTGTTTTCAGAACAGGGAGCAACGGGAAATCTCCCCCAAAGGACAGATACAGAAAAAACACACAGGGTTTTTTAACTCTTCAAAACTCATCAGAATATTCGATAACACCATCAGAGGCTTGATGAATGTCGTTTGATTTTAACATTCGGTTTTGAAATGAAGGCGCCGCGTTTCCCAAACAAATACCATATTCACTGTTTTGCTCGTTCATTCAAGAAAAATATTTAATTGGGCTCCTTCAATTTTTTTTTACACGGTCAGAAACGATCATCTTTTTGACCCCAACAACTATTAGAAAATGAAACCAACGTTCCAGAAATTATTTTTTTTTCTAATTAAATTCTACTAGTAAATGGTCAGCTTTAATTCACAGTTTCTGCTACCCCTGCAATCTATTTGGAACTATGAGACAAGTGTAAACTTGAGAACATACCTTTAGCAATAGTTTTGGTTAATGATTTAAGACGTTAATGAGTTACAAATTGTTCATTAGTATTGAGTGAGGGAAGAGTTGAGTTCTAAAACATTATATGATCTTGACTATGATGGAAATACCTGGAGATAAAGATTGTAAATCTTATTTTTTGAGAATTATGTGTGGCAGTTTTTTAATGTAACTCTTCATCTTGTACATCTGTAGTCATGAATGTCCACTCACTTTACTTGTGCATGAAAAGTTTTGACTTGTTATATAATTTATAGATGAGTTAATGGGTAATAAAAATACATAAAGGATCTCAAGTTTTAATATTGCCAGACATATTTATATAGAGATTGGAAGTAAAAGTGAAAAGTAATTTCAACACAAAAATAACATTTTAGCTATCAATGCATAACACAAAATATTGTAAAATCTGAACAGGAGTAGGTTACCCATGTAGGAGATGGACATTTGTTTCATCAATTTCTACAAGTACTGGCTGTTTACCTACAAATGTGAATTATCCTAGGAATTACATAGTATTGTTTAGGTCTATAGACTGTAAAAAGCCACACTTCTTAAAACCATTTAAACATTTTACAAAAAAAATTTAAACTTGAATTACCCTTGTGACTATCATGGAATGCTGGGACTTGTGGTTCTGAGTTGATGAGTTGCACACAGTGTCAACTTCTCTAGCAAGAACAATAAAGTCAGCTTAATCCTGTGCACCATAGTATGTACTGTAAATAAATATCACTAGTTAAGCAAATCATACAACTCTGAAATGCAGGGTTTGTTTTACAGGATAATTCCATCACAAACTAAAAACACAGTTTTGAGTGGTCCTCACTAAGTTTAATCACTCTCCATTGCTTCCACGTGTCTCAGAATGGGAGATTGCTGGACTCCTGGATTGCCCAGTTAATTTTTTCAACATGAACTTTACATCAACAGCTTCCTAATTGCAACAACAATTCTCATAAACTGGGGTTTCTTGGTTATAAGCCTTTGGTTAATTGAACTTCCCAACAACCACACAAATCTGAGTAACATTGGTCTGTTGCCAATATCCTACCAATACAAGACTCTGAAAACTGCAAAAGTCAGTTTATTTTCAATATTTGGATATATCTCCATGGTTGCTATTCAATATGAACATATTTTACAGTTTGCTCCAAATTACATTTTAAATTGCTATAAAATTGCAATAAAACAAAGAGCATCACATTTTATCATTGGTATATATACAAATACATATATTTCTTATTATTTACAGACTTACTTACAGACAGGCAAAAATAACCTAAAACTAATATGGAATTTAGCAGTCCTCATCTTCTGTATCACAGCTATAGGTCCATGTTGCTGCTCATGAAACACATGACTACTGTTACTCGTAGAGTTCTCACAGATGTATATAAAATATAAAGCACTAATATGATGTTTTAAGGGTTCCTGTCACCATCTCCAGGAGAGGCTGGCTGGATGAGCTATATGCTGGTTATTATGGTAGTTGTGAACAAAGCTGAATGCACCTGTAGGTTGCAATGCAGGGAAGAATGGCATTTTATCTGCAGAGCTGGTCGGAGAGCAGGTCTGGCAAGGCTTGCCATCTCTAACCAGTACTGGCACCACAACATGTTTCAAAAGAGGTGGGGAGCTTGTTGCTTCAGGTTTGGCTCTCTTCATCTTATAGCGGTGGTTCTGGAACCATATCTTCACCTGGGTTGGGGTGAGCTGGAGGATGTGTGCTAACTGGTCCCTCTCGGGGGCAGAAAGATAGCGTTGCTGGCGGAACCTCCTCTCCAGCTCCAAGGTCTGGGCCTTTGAGAAAAGGACTCTACGCTTCTTCTTTTTTTCCTCTTGGTTGTCAGTCTCCTTCTCTGATCTCTGCATGGTGTCTGTGAGAGTGGCCTCTGAGCTGCTCTCATCTGAAGCTGCAAAATATAAAACAAGAATGTAAATACACTGTGTCCTGTACCAGACATGTTATGATAATAAATAAGGTGAGACTTAAGTTGCCTTAAGCACTGTGGACAACCTTATCTCAAGTTATCATTTGATACATCATTACAAAATCATGTATTTATGATTTTCTACAATAGGGTTTGTTTTTTACTTTTTAAATGAAGTATATAGAATAGTGGGTTTTTTTTGCGCTTTAAATGTAACTACAATCCATGAGCTACTTCTATGTTAGGCATCATTGTAAACAGTAGGAAACGTCTGCAAAAGTCCACATCAATTTACGGTATACCATATACTTTAACAGTTTTCAAAGGCAACATTTGAGCTGCTTGGTCATAATGGATACCTTAAGATCATGAACAAAAATAATACAACTTGTATTTACAAAGTTGATCAACTAATAAATAGATATTTTAGTTTTCCAAAAAGTAAAATAGTCGTATACACATTAAATGTTGCTTAGTTATTGATTCTAGTCATACACTACCATTTTTTCCACAGCCAATAGGATTTGTCAAAACATTTTTAGGATTGCTAGTGAATGCGTAATAAACATATAATATGCTATACATAACATATAATATGTTATATGCATATAACATATAAACATGTAATATGCATCAGAAGAGACAAATGTTTTCAGAGTTGTTTGCATCAAGCATTCCCCCTAAAGAAAGAGGAACAACCCTCAAAAAATGGAGAAAAAGCTTACCTTACTCAACCCTTTTTTTTTCTTGAAACTGATAAGGGATTTGCCTTTGTATGTATAAGGGTTAGCAGACCAGTGACCCAGTCTTTGGCCGACAAACCAATCAGGCAACATAAAGGTATCAATAAATACATAAATAAATAAAGTCCATATAACCTGATTACTTGCTTTAAAAATAGATAATTGGTTTGGCGAAGTTAAGTAAAGTAAATGAAAAAAATAAGTAAATGAAAAACGTTCCATATATTAGTACAATTGTTCTGTATATTTAGGAAAATTAAATATTTCGGTGCTGAAAGCTGATACTTACATACATAGTGGTTTCTATCTCTCTCAACCCAGTCCTGGTAAGAAGGGCTCCTGGTGTAGTTCATGGATGGCTCTGTGTCTTCATACTCTGGCAGATCTAGAATCCTCCTGACTGTGAAGCTAAGGCTGCTGGAAGACATGGCCGGAGAGGGATTGAGTCCTCCAGAGATAAGAAATAGGAAACAGCCACAAAGTTGGATGGTGACCTGGAGCTAGCTCTACACTTTGTTCCTTCTCCCTGTACAATCCTAAATATTAGTATCACTTACTGGGAGATGCTGTTTATATAAACATGCCACCCCATTTACACCCAAACATAAACGAACTGCTTTCAGACCGTCCCTGTCTTAGGGATGCTAAGTACCAGTGTGAGTCAAGTGCTTAAGACCCTAATGGGAACAGAAGCCCCCCTCCCCTTACCTTCACTTATCCTCACTCCTCCCCAGAGATAACTCTTACCTCCCAATGACAACAGGAAACAAGATTCATCTTTACATATTCTGTCTGATTAGCCCAAAGTGGGAACAGATAATGGCAATTGTTACTTGTGAATAACATCCTGGGTGGCATGCAGTGACCAACATCCCCCTCCTAAACTGACCCTGCCCCCCTCTTCTTACACCCCCCCCTCGTGTAACCAAGGGATGCATCAAAGTGAGTTACAACCACAAATTAAATAAGTAAAATGATTGATTCAGTTTTATGGGGAATGCAAGTATCTATTCAGGTTCTGGAAGACTTGGGTGATAGAGATCGTCAGTTTTGCATTATTCAGGATGTTTTCCAACAAGATTTCATTTGCATCCACCTGCCCTGTGTGAGATAGGACAGGCAATTCAGACTGCACAGTCACTATCTCCCCCCTGGACCTGCTGAAAAGAGCCATGCTCCTGCCGATAAGGGCACATATTTACTTTCACTCTGAATAAGAAAGGCTGTCTGAGAGGGAATAAAAATGCCCAGATTATCCTGATAAGAGCCTTGTCTGTAACTTATTTTCTTATGACCACTGCTTTTATTCTAGTCCCTTTTCCTTTCTCTACCTCCCATTTGCCGTATACAAAGCACATCTTTTCACTGCAGTTTCTGGGTAACTTGCCTTGCTTAATAAAACTTAACAATAGTTTTATATATTATTTAAAATACATTTGGGGCACATTTATCAATTAACGTAATCTTCCCCTTATCTACTTTAATCTTCACTTTGCAGGTGGAAAAAAAGTTAAGTGAGCTTTAAAAAAAATAAATAAATTAAAGCATAATATAATGCTACTGTGGTATCAAGGTGTTGATTGTATAAATAACAGGTTTTCCTATGACTGAAAAATAAACAATGTCTAAAATTAGCAGAAATATCGCTTGGGACATGATGGAATTTGCAATGTCTGACTTTTAAAATTAATTTTAGTGTAAGACCTTCAGAATTTGTATTGAACAGGCAAAAACCGCAAAAGAAGTAAAAGAAGCAAAACTTAGCTGAAATAAGTGATTCCCACCCAGTTATCACTTATAGCCTGGGATAATTAATGTAGCATATTAGTATAATCATAATAACAACACGGACAAACTAACAATAACTACTACTATAACTCTCAATAATAAACAATACATATATATCTTATTATCATTGACAAGAGTAAAAAAATTAACAAATGAAAGCTGAGAATGATTTAGTAGTTGTTCAACAGACCAGTAAATCTGTGTTCTGTTCAAAAATCATAATATTAAAAAATAAAACATCAAGTAACGTAAAAGTATTAAACATATTTTTAGTATAACACATTTCTTTAACTTGATTAGTCATTTGATGGAAAGACACATCTGACAAACTTCACTTTACAAAAGAAACATGACTTTAAAAAAATAAAAGAGTTATAATTTTTTCTCAAAAGTTTATTTGTAGTAACAGTAGTAGTGGTAGTGTTAATTAAGTGTTTATGATAAATACTGAATATATACCACTACTTTTAATATGTTACCTCAGTTAATAAATATAAATACTTTAATGCACCTTAACGAAAATTGTAACTATACAACAATATAATTTCTTATTTTTGTCTAATATTTAAAGTGAAACGAAACTCAGGAGTTAAAAGTGTTAGATCCTAAAAATGCATTTAAGTACCTTAACTATTAACAAAAATTTAGCTTATTTGTGTATCACTCGACTGTAGATCCTCAAATCATCCCCTAATTGGTACTGACACTGTCCTTCCATCTAGACTAGAGGGTGGCTACTTTTGTTGCCCATGACCCCTGTATAAGATTGTAGTTCATCACAGGGGTGAGCTTGGAGCCGTGGCTACTTTGTAACACACACACAGGGACCATGGGGATCAAACGTACCCACCCTCCAGAAGGAAGGACAGTGTCAGCACAAATTCAGGGATGATTTCAGGATCTACAGCCAAGAGATACTCAAATAAGGTACATTTTTGTTAATAGCTAAGGCATTTTTAAAATGTAACTTCTAAGTTTAATGTAAATTTGATTCAATAATACCACAAGTTAGTGAAATCATTATATTACATTGAATGTACCATTATAGAAGTTTGGTACCGTTATTTCATTAAATATTCAACGTTCCATAAGAGATTATTTGTGACCATTAAAGTCCTGTAAATTAACAAAAAGCAAGCCTTAATAGTGAAATTTGAGAGGTGATTAGCAAAATGTATTTTCTATCAGGAATGTAGACTCCTTAGTTAGTATGTGTTTTGATTAATTTACTGTCTTTTTAATCATTAAGTACATTAAAGTCTTTCAAATAACCAAATGTTATTGGAGGAAAAGAGTATTAATGCTTTAAAAAATCTCATTCTGTAGTGCCAATCTTTAAATATTATTATTTAAATAAAAGTATTATTACAGTGTTTTAGATAATGATCATTGCATTTTTAATTTTTTTTCCCTTTAATAATTAAGATGATAACTTTTTTTCTGAATGCCATTACACATCAGTAAATCCTTGCATTACTTTTTTTTTGTTATAGTTATTGTGCTCTTTATATTAACTCTTACAATACACTACTTTACAATACACAATGGGGTCTATTCACGAAGCTGCCGAAGGATCTGGCCGTAGCTTCGGCCGATCCTTCGGCTAGCTTCGGCCCCAGGACCCCTTCGGTTCAGTAGAACCAAAGGTGTGCTGTACGGGCTATTCACAATAGCCCGTACAGCTCCAAGACCCCTATATGTTTTGGATACAAATAATATACAAAAGAGAATAGCTTGAAAGAGACATGGGGCTTTTTAGGTGCCACAATTAATACATATTCATTTGCTTTAGTTAAAAAAAAATTTGTATCAGTACAATTTTTTAAAAAATGTTTTAAAACACTTTTGCCATTTTAAAGACCAGTTATACAAAACAAGTAAGGGACAGAAAAAAATAGCATATACATATCTTGGCCAAAGTCTTCAAGCTTGTACAGGTTATAAAGAGTAGTAGGCTAAAGCGTCCTGCGTTTTTGCGCATTTTGCAAGTAAGTGCTTCTTCAGGAGCCTTAGTGGAAATCTACAATTCAATAAATCAAATATGTCATACAAAGCCTCTATGTCTGTACAGTATATTACATATGGTATCCTTCCCTCTTTTTATGGAACAATATACATTAGCAATACACATGTGCATAATATATGAAGAAATAAAATAAAACAAAAAATAGAAAATAGCACTAATAAGGATTTACCCCAACTTGCAATGTAGTCTGCAAATGACCAGCAGCAAAATCCAGAGTATCCAAGAGGGGGTGTGTGTATGTAATGTGTCACCCGCATGGGGGCTTTCTAGGGAGACCAAGACCAAGCTCAATTGAAGCCGCATTAAATCTGTATATATATACATATACACATACACACACACAGAGTTATAATTACGCACACTTGGATACTCTGGATTTTGCTGCTGGTCATTTGAAGACTACATAACAAGTTGGGGTACACCTGTCACAGTCACTGCTTTATAAATGCAATTATATTTCTTTTGGAGTGTGCAACAACAAAATGCCAAGTAGACCTTAGTCAAAACAATGTGACAAAATGTGAGTATGGCAAAGATTATGAAAGACCTGGGGAAAGGTGGGTTTTACATACTTCACACATACATCCTTGTACCTCCAAAATACTGCTAATTACTGTACCAAAATACTGCTAATTAATTTACAGAAAAGGGCCTTACAATTAAAGTGGAAGTAAATTGCTGCATGCTTGGTGGGGTTTTGCCATAATGTGCAAGTATGCTTTACATACTTGTACATGAATGCACACTTACTTTACACGTGTGTCTTTCTCCAGTACTGTGTGATGCATCCTCTGCCACCATCTCTGCTGCTGCCACTTTCAGGTCCCCAGGCATCCTCTTCAGCCATTGGGTGACCAGTGATGATGTATCTCATGCACACAGAAGTTACATTCTCCCAGGTACCAGGCCCATTCACGGCATCTTCACGGTCATGTGCTGTACAGTGTACGAAGGAAATAAAAAAAATCGCTAGAGAAAAGAGTAAGATTTTTTTTGTAAGACAAGACTTTGCATGTCTCTTCTGCCAAAAATTCCTACCTTGCAGGATTGTTTTATTTTTCTGACTTTACCTCCACTTTAAACTGTTACCAAGAAACAAGGTGGTTACTGTAGTTCTCTTCAGGGTCACAGGAGGAAATTTACTAATGTCCTCCTGTGACCCAAAACTCAGCATATAGCAGTCTATTACCCAGTCAGCGCTGGAGGAACGAAGAGGGGAGGGGGGAATCCCTGCAGGGAGCAGTGAATTAATTAACTGCTCTCTGAAGGGAGAAGATGGTGAACTGAGCAATTTGCGATATGTGATCGCTCAGTTCTCGGTCAATAGAGCCAATAGAGGTCAATATGTGACAGCTACAGTGTCAAACGTCGGCTCTAACTATGGGGATGAGTGTATTTTATCCCATAGATCTCCTTTAACCTCTTAGCGACCACTGACGTACATAGTACATCACTGGCAGCGAGCCCGTTTAAACAAACTAAAGCCGCCAGGACTCTGTTTACATTTGTAGAGCTGGCTGTCGGCTTTACAATAGAAGCAATTCTGGCGACTCAGCTGCTGCCAGATCGCTGCCACCCCCGACAGGTTTCCTGGGCTGCGCTACCCCTCCTGCAGGCCTTG